AATAAGACGCGTCTTACATAGGACGCGTCTTAAATAAGACGCGAACTTTCCGTATAAACGGCACATTTCGTCTAAAATAAGACGCGGCTTAGCTAAGACGCGTCTTATTTTAGAAAAGCCCTTAACACCTGTTCTTAGATAAGACGTGTCTTAGCTAAGACGAGAAAAACTTCGTATAAATGACCTTCGCGTCTCCTTCGCGTCTTAAATTAGACACGAACGCATAGTACGCATGCGTTAATTTTTGGCGCGCCACGTTGGATTGCCGTTGCTACGGGCAACATTCACATGAAAACGACTCAAGAACAGAAATAAGACGCGAACCATTTATAAGAGCTGTTCTCGTCTTGAATAAGACATGCTCGTATAAATGGTACAGTTCGCGTCTTATTTTTCCTCGTATAAATGGGCCTAATGAGATGATAACATATGAGAGTACGGCAATTGGGATAGTATGCAGCGCAGTCAGTCAGGGGAAAAAAAAAATGCGGTTATCAAGAAATTTAGGCAATATTTACTTCGTCGAAAAAATACTTCACAGAAAGCAGTCGTTAGGTGTTGGATGATTACACTTCAACCTTTTTTGAAAAATTTGAAACTTCAATCCTGCCCAAATTTTAGCCTCTTATACACGCCTTTTTACTATATGAACCTTGAGATAAAAAGCCATGCAGTACATGTATGCCTTGTCCAACCCACATAGAACTTTTCGGCTAGTTTGTTTGTGTTTCCAATTCAGACCACGTGATGGTCTCGAGAGGATTTGCCTTATGACTATTACCATGCAATTACGTGTACGTGTGCGCACGCATGAGCAGTTTCCTGGAGTGGGGCAACATCACAAGGTGAAAAGGTAGCCTCCTCCTCAGGCGCTTCGTTTTTCGCATGGCAGAGGCGAGCGCGAAACGAGTGACTGGTGATGAACCGCAAGAGACCATGGGAATGGTACAGACGGCAGGCGAAGCGACGTCTCGCCCGTTGTCTCCTTCCCGCCTTCCTTTGCGCGCACATTTTCATCAAAAGAGAGACGTCTGGGTACGAGGCAGGTGAAAAGGGCTGTTTAAGCCTACGTTGTACTAAGGCACCGAATAGTTAACTTACTTATGAATCAAAGTTCTAACTTTAAACTGACCCTATTATTCAAGCGCAACATTTCCGAAGATCACTAAATTTACACTGACAATGGTTAGTTTACTGCTTTGACTAGTTTATGTGAGAAATGTATTACTTGAATATTTAAACAGTCTTGAACTTTTTCTTTGTGATTGGTCAGCCGAGACATGCCAGCCTCTCATGCATCCATCCAAGTTGTCAAGTTTTCCACAAGCTTGGCACTGCAATAAAGCATTTGAATGACAGACCCAATGGTTAGTGCTTTAGCAATTAGTTACCGGAAAGAAAAGAAAATATTTAGAAAAAGGACATAGCAACGGAGAGACAAGTAAAAAACACAGATAGCAATTTTATTATAATAACGCCTCATACCTATTACCCGACACGCACCCTCCGCAAGTCTGCGAACAGCAGACGCATTTACGGTCGTCGCTTCTCTCCGCGACGACCGGAAATACGTCTGCTGTTCGCAGGCTAACCCTCTACAGATGAGAGAGGTATTTATTTATGAGAACCAGACCAACTAATTTGTTATTGTTAATGATATGTGAAATAAATCATATACGAACTGCGGAAATGAAATGAAAATGAAGAAATGATTGTCGCAGTGAACGCAATTTATGTAATTTCGTAAAGAAACCTGAAAAAAAAAACGCAATTGCATAAATTGCGTTCACGGCGACGATCATTTCTTCACTAACACTCATTTCTTTCACGGGAACTAAAGAACCCACAATTGACCTGCTCCCAACGTCAGTGGCAAAATAGCTCAGTTGGTAGAGCATCGCACTGGTATCGCGAGGTCACGGGTTCAAACCTCGGTGAAGTTCTGAATTTTTTTCAGGCTTCATTACGCAATTGCATAAATTGCGTTCACTGCGACGATCATTTCTTCATTTCAATTTGTTATTGATACAACTCGACACTTACCATCTTTGTTGTATGAAAAAGGGTTGAATTATGAAAAAAGAAAGAAAACCATGGTCAGGAATTTGACATGACAAAACTAGTACATCTTAACAACTTATTGAGCAGCTAAATTTTGACTACATATATTTTGTAGCGTAAAGCATAGTGTAAGATGTGACTGGAATGTTGCTGAGAACAGAGTAGTGTTCAATAACGCATGATTCAATTTCACCTGTCACCATGCCTCCCTCAGGGGATTTGCTATTTTACTTTCTGGGGGGCCTATTCACCACCCGGGGGGGGGGGGCAACACAGAAAGCGACAATGACCCATCTCAAAGACTCCTTAACAACCTCAATTTTGTCACCTTCTGTACAATAATTATTTGAAAAAAATAGCGATAACAACATTAATTCCATTTAAAAGAGAATTTACCAAAAAACGTTTTAAAAACATTTTTTTTTAGAGTCAATTGAATGAAGGAGACTGCGATGTACAGTAAGAGGGGAGGCAACAAAGTAAAGTAAAAGCTGTTGCAAACGAAACCAGTGGTGGAAAGAACAATAGCCTCTGACAAAGCTTTCACGGAACATGGGAAGAGGGCTAATGCCAACGTTGTCGATGTTATTTGCTCTTAAAAACTTTTGAGTAAGTTTTCAGCAAGTTTTCAAAACAAAACTTACCCCCTGTTTCATCAGGAATCCACAATTAATATTACATAGAAAAAATAAAGAGTAAAGTGTTAGCTATAATAATAATAATAATAATAATAATAATAATAATAATATTAATAACAATAAAAACTTTATAAACTGTAAACTGTTTGTGCTACTAAAAGTGTCCTCTCATAGTCCTAACTTCTTACAAACAAATGATCCTTAGCATTTCTTACATCGTATGAAATTTTAAGGAAAGTCATCTACTTGAATTTCATTATTAATAATCATAACTTATTTGCCAAAACAATGGAGCCGTCTGAAACAAAAGAAATACTAAAAATATAGGCCTTAAAACTACCTTTGAGAATATTTTAAGGAACTTGAGCTCTAAAGCCTCTTTTAGAAGACAACGCACCACTACCATAACAGTAAAAGCTATGATGTGACAGTGATGCTTAAATAATTTTTATAATAATATTTATTATTTATAGCTCTTAATAGTTGTGCATGAGCTCCATTTTAAAAATTTATCTGCAATCGCGATTGATTTAGAAAAAAATTTGTGCCTGTGATAGAAATGCAATGATGATATAGATCATGGCACAAGATACAAAAACCTCAGTGCCATGAGTGAGATTCTAATTAAGTAAACTCACATCAGCAATGATGACACAGTTTGTAATAATATTGTGATATTTGAGGAATAAACTTTTACAAGGGTTCTGTTATGCAAAGTATGAGAAGTTCACAATTTCTGTCACATTCATTCTTTCCCCAACATGAAGGGTCACATGTACTCTGTATGTACATGAGAGGTTTTCTTTGGAAATGTACTTACCCCCTGAATATCCAAGCCAAGGAAGAAAAGAAAGAAAAAGAAAAAAAAAGAGGAAAGCAAAGTTAGTTAAAAGTGATGCCCTTTAACCTAGGAAACTATTGCTAATAATAGCTGGTTACTATTTTATTCTTAAGTTTATAAAAGAGGTAATTACATCTGTATTAAGCTAGAGTTTGTGAGTTGTGTTACATGTAGAAGGTGAAAGAGACATTTTAATCAACCCATTTGCTGCTGAAAATTTTGTCAAGAAATTTGATTTAAAGCTAGTTTAGCCTGCTAACTATCTGGCCAAAAAGGTGGTGGACTAAACACTAACCCCCGGTTCACGGGCTACCCCAATGGACTGAACCATATAGACTACCTGGTAAGAACATGAAGAAACTACCAGTACAATTATCTAAAAGGTAGTCCACGGACTGGGGGTCAGTATTTTGTCTACCACCAGCCAGAAAGAACAAAAACTGTCCAAAGTGTTGTCTACAAATTGTGCACTACACTGGCTGTATTTGTAATGTTCTGAAGTTTGGGAATGTGCAGAGGGCAAAATTTGGGGGTTTAAAAGTGACAGTACTGTCCCTGGGACTTTAACCTTTCACAGTCTCTCTGCCCTGTGACTTTTAAAATTATAATATTGCAGTTTAAATAGTTACCCTGCTATTTTTCTCTTACTACTTACTAATGCAACATGTGGTCATTAAACATTTTCAGGGGAGGGGGAGGGAAAAAATTGGAAATTAGAAATGGTCAAACAGAACCTTCCCTCATACTTTGTATGTAGTTAGTACTTCAGATGAAACTACTCAATGTGGCATTTGTTTGACTTCTAACAAAAATCTGCACTGGGCATCAGGGGGGGGGACGTTTGGGCCAAAAATTGCATTTTGGGGGGGTTATTATTCTCCTTGAAAATTGGAGTTTTTTTGACAAGGCAAAAAATAGACATTTTTGAACACATTTTTTTCTTACTTGCAATCCAATTTCAATCAAAATTGAAACAGGATGTAAATATTTCATATTATTATTATATATTCATATTTTAAAGACAGTGCATTTACAGCAGTAAAGAGCAAAGCAAAGTTCTAAACTAGGCATGTCAAAGGGGTACCATTTGCCAGTACAAAGATATAAAGAAGGGGTACTTTTCTATCAAAAATGGTATGTAAAAGGTTAAGGGTGGAGCCTCCCTTTATAAAACTTTGTTGGGTGACCCGCCTGTCCATAAAATGCCTCATACAGTCAACCCACCTATTATGTAAATGCAATCAAATTAATATGAGAGATTGTATGGACAGGCGGGTTACCCCACCTAAGCAGGTTACCTCACCTATATGGGGTCCCCCACCTCCATGTAAACAGGCCCTTACTTGATAAACGACTTTGGTGCAGTGGTCACAAAAAATATCTGCTTTGCAAGTGAAGAATTTTAATTTGTTTATGTGCCACAATCTCTTGTGTGGGGATTTGGCAAAACCTGCTTCCCCTTAAAGGACCAGCTCACAGAAGATACCAAGCATGAAACGATGTAGAGTGAAAACTGTTTTGTGTGACTGCCCCCTGCATCAAATAATTAATCCCACAAAAAAATGTAAATATGTGCCACTTTAGTGACTTTGTCCCCCACCTTGCATAACACAAAATACGAAAGTGCTGCCAAAAAGTGTTATCTAAAAAATCTGACTCAGACTTGAGTTTTGTCAACTCCATTAGGCTGATCAACAGCGGTAATTCAATTTCGCCTTGTTCTGTAGGAGCAAGGCGTCCTTACAAATGTTTGCACGGGGGCAGAGGAGTTATTTGTGAAGGCAAGCGACGCAAAAATTTCATGAAACTGCTCTGTTTATGCATATTGATTATTTCCTGTGGTGTATATTTCTGTAGGATCCTGCAGGTGTTGCTAACAGAATTCCATCTCTGCATGCTGCAGTATAGCACTGATTTTCTTTGTGTGCCTTCAAAGCATTAAGCTTTTTATTGCAGCTAGAAAAAGATTGCACTTTCTAGTTTAGTTTTCTTCAAAATATATGGACCTAATTAACTTAGTTGTTTTGTCCATAAACGTGACGATTCTCTGCAAAATCGGCATGACAGCAACCCTGGCTTCTGTTTGCATGACCAGTAAGCTATGTTTCACAATTTGAATGAGTCACAAGGTGTTTAGTTTCATTCCTTGTCTCTTTTTCTTCTAGGCACTTTGTGCCTCACTTGGAAAGTTTTGTATTATTATTAATACATGGTGACTTTTGTGTGATTTCACTTTGGCTCTCAAATGTTTCTAGTATTTGCTTTGTTAATGGTATGTAATGTTTCAGTTATCTTTTAATATTATTATCCCTTTGAAGCGATTCATTTTGCTGGAAAATGTTGTATTAGATTTTCCTGCCAAGCTAAATTGGGGCAGTAATTTGCATAAATTAACCAAAAACCACAAACTTCTCCCCCTGATGCCAAGTGCAGGTTTTTTTGTTAGAAAAGTCAAACAAATTCTACATTGAGTAGTTTCATCTGAAGTACTAACTACACACAAAGTATGAGGGAAGGATTTGTTCGACCATTTCCAATTTTGCTCAATCGTTAGCGACATTAGTTCTTAATACCAAATGCCATAAAATTAACAAAAAGTATATTGTACAGTCATGTAATGAGACCAATTGTAGATTAAGTGTTAAAACAGTAATATTATTTTTATGTTTTAACTAAAATAAATTTAGTTTAAGAGCAAATTACTTACAAACTGAAGATAATCCACAATGATTATCACATAAAAAAGAAAAACAGTAAAACAAAAATAAATTAATAAGGTCAGTTTTTCATCAATTGCTCTTATATCAACCTGAAATTCAGAAACTGTGAGTAGCAGCAATACTTATGGAATGTTATTGTGTTTCAAAATCAGGCATAAAAAAAACTAAATCACCAACAACAGCAGTGAATAGTTTGTGGTCTCGCTTGTGGTTTACCGTATGTCGTGAACTTTATATGTGATTGTTTAAAGTGATCATGGTTTTTGGTTCACACAGTATTAATGAAATTAAGATTATCTTGTAATATGTAAGGAGGACATTAGACCCAATACAAAAATACCATAACAAAAATTGGGAAATACTAAAATACCATGTTGAAAACTGGCAAAATATCGATACTGTATTTATGACTGGTCACACATACTTAAAGTTGCATCTATCATGTGTAATGACCTTCTGTATTGTTTCTGGTGCACAAAGGTACATGTACATCAATTTTTGGACTTTTTTGCAACTTACAGTGTACTTAATGATGAAGTTTGAACCCTAACAAATGAATCGTAAAAATCTAAATTATGATAACCAGTAATTTTATGAGTATATACATAGACATTACTTACCACATCCACTATCTGCAGGTTCCATACCATAGGTGAGACAGATAGAAAAAAAAACAGATCACATAACATCACTGCTATGTAGGTAAAACAGTTTGCAGGGGTTACATATTGTAGTTACTTTATAGCTCATACTATCAAGGCTGTGTTCTGAGAAAGATGTTAAGGAGCCCAGTGCTCTAAACCCGTAAAATCCAGGGTGCTCAACAAAGGATTTCTATAAAACTACTAAGATTTTCTAGTCCTTAGTCATCAGGGGCCACCAGGGGTTGCTAGAGCACAGCCTTGACTACTCATTTTTATAATTTGGACTTTAATTATGGCACAAAATATGAACCTGTCATTTATTGAGGGACCATTGTGATCAAAATTATACAATGTACAATGCAAAATGATTAACAGTTACTGTGTAACGAAAAGGATTTTCATTCTAAAATTTTGTCACTGTGCATCTGGTCACACGAGCACTATATGAGTTTCTCTTCCTCTTAAACAAGAACTGTCTTTGAAAAGCATATTACTGGTATTTTTCTTTTCATTAATATCACATTTATTTCAACTCATTTACTTTATCTGTGGAAGAAGACAGGGGGGCAGACGCCTGGGAGAATAGGAGGGGGGGTATGTGAGGTGGGAAAAGAAAAGGAGGGAGGTGAGAGTTCTAAAAGGTTGAGAAATGGGACAAATACGAAGAGAGTATGCAACAATGCTTAATTGAAAAGGGGCCAGAAGCGGGGAATGAAAGGTATGGGAGGTGGAGGGTTTGGATTCCCCCCCACTCCCTGGATTGTTAGTAATCACAAGCAAGGTAAAAATATATTGCAAAACTTACTGGCTGTAAAAATGAGTGAGCCCAAACACGTTCAGGTATGAAAGAAAAAGCAAAACAGTTAGGGTAAGACATACCTAGCAGAAGACAGTAAATATCAAATGTACAATAAATTATTACAAACCTTTAGGAAGGACATGAACATGCAATATGTTGGGAAGAAGGGTAAACTATTTTTCTCTAAGTAAACAAGAAGTCTGTCTTGCAGCTGGACTGTATTGAAAAATGCCCATTGCATGTTATTTGGGTTGGGAAATGAAAAACCTCTTAATAAATATATGAATAACATGAATTGCATTGTTACCAAAATGTTTTCACAACAATGAGAAAATAACAGTTACTTGGATATTGTACTTCACTGTGTAAAAATAAATAATACTTTTCTGCTGTTGCTGCTACAGTTATACAACTGTAGGTCGTAGTGGTACAGAAATAACATCTCCAAGAATTACCGGTGCCAAAAAATTATTATTATTGCTAACAATATTGATCCACGCCCTCGATCTTTGGCTTCGAAGGGTAGGCGTTACTGGTAAATAAAAAAGATTGGCCACTTGTTAATTGCATACAACTTGAAGAGTAGTTAAGAGTGAAAGATGTAAGTGCATTCTTTCAGAAAGAAGGAAAGGCAGCAATTCTGAAGAGGGAACAAGGGCTCCAAACCTGTGTATCCTAGGAGACAAAATTCCACCCCTATCATGAGGTAGAATAATGTTGGCAGCTGTCAGTTTTTACTGGAGCGAGAGAGAGAGACAGACAAGCATATTAATTGCACTTTTTGTGCCTCGCTGGTTCCTGGACCAAAGCAGGTGACATTTACATAAAATAAGGAAACCCTGTTATTGCAACCAACAAAGAGCCATGAGAATTATGTCGTTATAGTTTTCTTTTTTATGTTTACGTGGAAGGGAAATGAGATGAGTCTAAGTCATGCTGTACGAAAAGTTGGATTACCCTGCAGGGTAGCATGGATAGGCAGGTGACCCTTCTACCCTAACCTACCCTGGATTACTTTTCCCCATATATACAGGACCTTAGGTGTCTTTAGGCTTCGACCTACCCCTTTGTGCCACCTGCAAGCGTCACCATGGTTGCGATGCTCACTAAAAAGTTTATTGCAATTGTCACATAGCATTGTAGTGGTGCTCCTCACTGGGGCACTATGAACCACTCTGCTGTATGAAACATTATCCTTATCTGTGAGTTCAGGAGAACGTTTTTCTCTAGCGGGACTTCGGGTCGTTGCTCTTGAAAATTCATTTCTAGAGATGGCATTCCAAATTCTCGTTCGATCCAAGTCACGTTCGTCGAGCTCTATTTTGAGGCTTTCTTCCTGCAATTTCAAACGATGTTCTTTTACACGCGTGTTCATTTCGCGTCTGTTTTGCATTATCATATGCAGGTTATTTCTTATCATGCATTTTTGAACGATTTGATGCATTCGTAGATTAATATACTTTGTTCTAAATCCGCATCCTTCACATTGGACAAATCTAAAGTCGCACTGTTCGAGGTGTAAAGAGAGATCTCTTCGCCGAACTTTCTTTCTGCAACCAATATTGATGCAAAGTGTAAAGGATAATAGGCAGTGATTAGTGAAATGATCATCAAGACCTCCAAGCAACAGCACAGTTTCGCAGCCCTTTGGACAATTGATTTTCAAGTTATCATAACGTTTTTTCCATTCAGTGTCAATCTTGCCCTCGATGTGGAGATGTAAATCTTTTCTGCACACAGGACAAACGGGCGATCTTCGTCTCATTCTTTTCTTGTAGCACTTTATACACAGCATGTGCAGACAAGACAAAACAGCGGGTTGAAGAAAAACATCGTGACAATGAGAGCAGATAAATTCACTCGGTATTCTTCCGTCAAAGTGCTCCTGTTTGATTCCCATATCAGCAAAAAACTAAGCCACCGACCACAAAACAGGAACAGCTGAAAGCGGAACGAAATTCGTGACTTAGTGACACAATGTTTGTGGTAATTTACCGTTCATAAGGTGATGTTTATTGAATAATTGCCACATAATCTCACAAGGAATTTATCGCATACCTACCGTGCCTTTTGTTGTGATAATAGATCATTGTCATTTGTCTTTGTGATTTGCATTCGGTAAATCGTAAACCTTGCTTCCGCGCTCGATCTCTGATGATAGACATCGGCAGTTGAGAAATATTCAAAATGAGAAAGGAGCAGATAAAAACAGCTGAAAACAATTCTTCTAGATAGAATTGGCGTGAATCTACCGATTTTCGTGTAGTCATAATGAAAAGCAAACGACAAGTGAATGGAAAACTTGGTCACGTGGTACAAGTGCGATCTCTCTGATGATTAACCTGAGATCAGGCTTTTTTTGTGTGTTTTTGCTTCTTTGCTTCTTTGGCCCGAGAGTGAAAAAAAATAACGCCCTCCTCCCGAAAGAAGATTACAGAGATAAAGGGAAAGGGCATGATTGCAGGCTAGTGTCTCATAGGGGGACTTAACAAGAATTTGGGTCAAAATTCGTTGAACGCTATAAGTTGATTGGTTGTACGGATCCTCTCTGTTTACCCCAATCCTTTAGGATAAAAATTCGTACTTTTGGACAGTCTCAAGCTTTCTTAGCCTATCGCTTCCTTGTTCTTTGACAACTTACAGAGATACATTGAGGGAAACAGCTGAAGACCTTACAACTGAGAGAGTTGCAACACTGCTCATTTCAGTTTCTCGTCGCTACGTCAGTGTCCACTACAAGGGTGAAAACTAGTTATGATACGTCCGATCTCCGATACTGCCAGAACGGCTGATCCCTATAGTAGAGTTCTCTAAAAGTCAAAAATGCTCAATACGGTCAGAGATTTCCTATCCTTATGCCTTCTATAACAGTAGTGATCTTTATCTGAAAGAGCCCGTCCATTGATTTATAACTCACTCCTTATTACTCATTTAACGCAGCAAAAAAAGAACGGCTGTGCTGTAAAAAAGTTGTTTATACATAGGTCAGTGTTTAAATGGCTTGCTTCTATGTACTCACCCGCAACCCTTTAATTTGAACTTGCACTAACAGCCTGAAAAAGCACTGACTTCTAGCCTGAGTATCAGGCCTTCCTTCCATCTTTCCCCTTTTCCCCAGAAACGCCTGATACTCAGGCTAACTGAATTCCTGCTTTACAAGGACGCCGTGTGAAAAAAACAACCTTACTCTATCTGGGAAATTGTGGCAACGACTACTTGATTGTTAGTGACGATGGCTGCCTTAAATGATCCGATAAACTGTTCCACAATACCGCTCCGCTACTGATAACTAAATCTCTTTTTGAAGATTTCAGTACTGGGAAGTGGTACTGCCAGTTTGTTTACCGTATTTCTTGATTTAAATCCTTGGGGGCGGGGGGGGAACCTATGCATATGGAAGGGGTGGGGATCCTCGTCGGAAATTTTGAATTAAACCCCTAAAGGAGACCGATCTGGGCGCGGCCCAAGCTTTTTTTGACCCCTAAAAGAGACCATGTCAAAACACAGACAATATAATATTTTTATATTTTTTCACGTGCAACCCTAAACAAGACTTTCACGGCTAAATATGATGGCGTTTTGCCCAGAACACCCTAAGTGAGACCAAAATCCGAAATTAACACCCCTAAGCGGGACGACGAGCATCCCCACCCCTTTCATATGCGGAGTACACCCCCCGGGATTTATATGGCCTTCAGTCCATACGATAAAAAAATTTTGAGCTTAACTCTGAATACGGCAGAGCCTTATACTAAGACCCTTATAGAATAGATAACTTGATCTTAGCTTACAGCTCAAGTTTATACCAACTGAGTGACCGAAAAGAGCTCATCCAGGCAAGCATCTGCTCAGTTGCAATTTGAAGAAATAATTGTACGAGCAGCTTGGTTCTGTAGTTTATGGAGCTAGTTCTGGATAGCCTGCGTAGCAGGCGTCGAGAGGGGATAGGGAGGAAGCGAAAAAGGGAGAGGGGTTTTGCGTCTGCCAAACAAACTAGTTCTGGGAGAGGCCTTTATTACAGTTCCCCAAACCGCGCTGCAGTAATTGAAGTGAGGCTGTACAGGAGCGCGATAAATAGTGAGTAGGATTTCACGAGAAAACGGAGTTTCTGACGCGCTTAATTGCAATAATGTCAGAAGCAACCTTTTTAGACATCATCCTGAATATGGTCATCCATTTACACCAAGGGATTTAGAAACCAGGACCTGCATGTTTAACCGCGCGGAGCGTCATTGATGGGGTACACCACTCGTGACAAATTACCCGACTTACAGCCGTTTACTACACAGGATTGTGGACGACTACTATAATGGTATGACGGACCTGAACCAGTCTCCTTCGGGGCCGGTTATACCGTATCAGTCAAGTTTAGATCATAGTAGTAAGGTATGGTCAACCGTATCAAAAGCCTTTTTGAGGTCCAGAATCAATATTTTTCAATGACCATGAAATTCAGTATCCGGGTAGTTAGTTAATCAATTGTGGCCCTGAAAAAAAATTGAAGGGAAAAAACTACGAATTTTAAAGAAAATGCTTTTTTCGTGACAAGGACTCTTTACCCATATGTTATGAAGATCCCCAAAATTAAGGGATAAATCTCATAGTTTATTAGATATAATCGTGTAAAGTTTGCTTATCATTTTCACATAAATTATGACCTAAATTTGCAAACCGCTGAATTTCTCAAATTGGGTCTTTGCGATTTTGGTGAAACTCTGTTCAACGCAAGGCACTAATGCGCACTATATGTAGCCCAGAGATTTTCACGCAAAAATGCCGGCAACAGCAGAATTTCGACTCAGACCCGAAAGAGGCGTGGCACTATAACAACGTGACATTTACTCCGATCGCCAAAAATTTTATGCTGTATTGTAGATTGATCTATATGTTATCCATGCTATATGTTGGACTTACAATCAATTAAAGGTGGGGATACCAGAGAGCTTCAAAGTAGGATGGTACCCCCCCAAAATAACCGGGTCGAGTCAGCTTAAATGGCTACATTCTTTTGTCCCTAGTTTGAATCGTAATCCTTTGGATAGTGAATTTTGCAGGAATATTATCGAATCTGTTAAAGGCCAGAAATCGCAGCTCATTATGAAAAAGAAGCCTATTAACACAGAAATCAAAAGGAGTATTCTAAATATTCATAACAAGGAAGACTCTAATTTAAAGAATCTTCGCATCGCTGCGTTATGCTCTTTAGCTTTTGCAGGATTTTTTCGTTATGATGTATTATTGAATGTCGTTCCTAAGCATATTGAATTTCACAGAGATTATATAAGAATCTTTGTACCTCGAAGTAAGAAAGATGTTTATAGGGAAGGGAATTACGTCTTTATTAGCGCACCCAGGTCTTAGTACTGTCCTGTTGGTGTTTTACAAAGGTACTTAGATTTACTGGTATTGACTTATCTATTTCTCTCCCTTTAATTAGACGGCATATTTTTCACCGTGGTAGTTCTAGCTATACTGTGAGGAATAGAAAGATTTCTTATACTACTTGCAGGGATATCTCAAGGGATACCTTAAGATCCGGTGGCATTATATCTGCGGTACGTAATAGAAGTAACTCGATTCCAGAAAGACTTCTTAAAATATATGGTAGATGGAAATCTGACTCTGCCAAGGATATGTATGATGAAAAAAGCCTTGAAAACTTGTAACAAGTAACTAAGTATTGAGGTTTGTAATGTATTATCGAGCGTATATTATTAAAGAATTATGAAGCATCGACATTCTGTGATAAACGCTTAATACTCTCACACAAAGTAAGACTATGAGTATTAAGGCACTTCTCTTGAGAATCTGCTAATTGGACAATAAAAATGTGTCGGTTGTAAGTAAGGCTTTCTTCTGGGAGTCCATAACGCGGGTTTTCCGGCACTGTCTCTAAATTGTAGAGGGGAACTTCTACAGACCTTAGGATTACGTGGAGAGAGGTGACACAACCAGAGTTTGGCAGTTGACGATGGTTTTAATCTTTCCGTTGAAGTTACAAACTCCTCTTAGCTATCTCAGATCTCAAGGCGTAACTGTGAAGCTACTCACAAGAGGTTCTATTTATATTGAACGATTAAGCTAATTAATAATTGATTTTTTTACAGTTTTACATGGCATTCATATGCAAGGAAAAGGTGTTAGTAAGTGTCAGAGTTTAGAGAACAAAAGGAACTGAAATTGAGTTGATTCCCACTACACGTGGAAGAAATTTGCAAAACTAGAAATATCTCTCTACCCAAATACATCTATCTGTTTCTATCTTTTGAACTTGTTTCCGTGTTTCTTGAGCAAACTTAAAGAGGTGTTTCTCAACCTCAGTTAAACCTTTAGTTGTGAAAGACTGAAACTACACCTATGATGTTTCCTGCAATTACCGTGCGTCCAACTTCTATTTTTGATTGATCCCAACACCAAAGAGGTCGGTGCAAAAATCTTTTAGCCAAGGACTTAACTGACCAGCAAAGGTTTGCTAGTAAAAACTAAAGTCTGTCCAGCTGTTCTGACAGCTTGTAAACACCATCCTTTGTCCCTTGACAAAAGATATTTAAGATATGGTGGAACTTTTGATTTCCAAACCGACCTAAAACAAACTTATTTATATTTTATATATCCCTGAATAAAGTCAAAATACCCAACACCGAAATAAATAGAATAAACTGAATAAATATTAATGATTACGAAGAGAAGCGCATACAATGAAGCAGACTGAGCAAAAATGTACCCTAACAAAATTACTATAAAAAAGAGATGCTAACTCGATCTTTCAAGCTCGAAATTGCTCTCCTACTCACAGAGGGAAAGATAAATACCGAGTAAGGAGAATGTTTGACAGAAAATTATTCATGACATACATGCAAACTAAAGTCGGCCACGACGATTTGGGTGTATCATGATTACGTAACTTAAAGTTTTAGTGCTTTCTTCAATTAGTTGTTAAGTGTTAATTAACAGCAATAAATTACATGTGATTTTAGTCACACTTTACTTACAAATGACGATACGGAGCAATCTTCCGAAAATTCTTAAATTCTTTGAAGCATTACACCCACTAAATAAAATTGATTACAGAGATTTTAAATTCAGATATGTGCACACAAACAAATTGTCCAGTTGATTCTGTTGCCAGGGATTGTTGAGAGTCCCGACAGTGCAAGCTAGCTTGTCGACATTTTCTTTAAAAAAAGGGGAACAATATTACCACTCATTCAAGCATGGTCAAGATGTTAGGCCCTTGTTTTATTGTCAAACAGCAATCTCTTGGGTGTCTGCCAACACCAGTCCAAGAAACGCACGGGACGAGAACCACTGATCGGCTTCCACCATGCAGCACACTGGATCTTGTACTTGATCTCACTAAGGATATCAAGCCAAAAGTCGAACCAAATCAGACGCAAGAACATTATAAGCAACAGATGTACCGGAGAGAACGTACCAGATGCTTGTCTTCTAAGATTCTCCAGTGACTTTTTCTCGTGTTTCGGTTCATTTAAACGAAAGCAGCTTGGATCAAAAGGAGCGAACAACGCAGTCAAAGCTCCACGGGGATTTCTTTTAAACAGTGCCCAATAATCGGGAAATATTCCGCACTTCTTCCCCACGTCATCGCCGTAGGTGTAACCCTCTACCAGGGTAGACAATCGTCCAGAGGAATCCTTGAAGTACTCATCCCAGAAACGCTTGTCATTGTAAGCTTCTCTCTGCATTTCAGCTTTCGATGGTAGCTTACACTTGCCTGAGAACACTTTTGAGACAAAAATAGATCCCAGCTCAGCCAGTGAGATCACCGAGCCAATAACTGGTCGGACATGGCCGATAAAAGCTAAGGTAGGGTCATCAATATTGATTACGTATTTGTAATAGTCCCTGAGAGGAACGGAGCAAATTTCCGGTGGGAGCATCGGGAAATTTGCTTTGAATCCTGTGCATTGGATGATGACATCCACTTCTTCTTCCGTGCCGTCACAGAATACTACTTTCTTCCCTTGAATACTCTCGATCGCGCCTTTAGGGATGCAGTGTTTGTAGTCTACCCTGTCCAGCACGTGGCCATTTTTGTTGACGATGAAGTGGAAAAATTTGGCACTGTTTTTCCACTCGGGTATGCCATGACCCTGATACGCTAGAAGAGATCCATTTGTAGTCCACTTACAAATCCAGGATAATCCTGTAGGGATTGAAGACACCCAAATATCAAATTAACCTTGCAGTCAACTGATTCGTACAAAACTAAGGATAAAGAGGTAAAGTAACGAGGTAACAAAGGTGGTTTGTTGGTAACGTCCTGATAAAAGCCGAGTAACAATTCCAGTCTATGTTTGGAGCAGGTAAATCTGTGGCTCGTTCTCCGGCAGTGGTATGTCGAGACTAAAACAAGATATATATTTGAAGCTGACTCCTGATCTTTTTTACCTTACTTAGGTTTACTTTACTTTACACTCTTGTATGTTTACTTTCCTAAGGAATGGCCCACCTAGATTAGCAATAGGAACCTACGGGCATACCCAAATTATGTGCATGTATCAAAAGCAGTAAGGGAACGACGGGAAAGAAAGTGAAGATTAGTGCGAGAATCCAGGAACAATCCTACAATAATGCAGTAGAGACAATCGAGTGACGTCTGAGGTCATGATAGAGAAATTTCTTGTAACCAATATTCGGTTTGGGCCGTTCCGCCATCCAGCCAAATGCTTTCTGAATTGAATCATTTTAACGGCGACCTTTTGACTCTCACGACTGATCCTTACTATGATGGTATGTATTAAAAGCGTTGTCAAAGGCGGAGGCAGGGTGGGCGAGCGGTCTGGGCGTTGGACTTGTATTTCGGATGACCGAGTTCATGTCTCACCTGGATTCTAAGGTTTGGCGTAAAGAAAGTGAAAGGACGCTTTCCAAAAGTCATTACTGGCCGGCCGGACCATGGCCGGACCAGATATTTTGGCAATGAATTAGCCTTTTTTCCAATAGTTTTTGCTGAAAATCCATCTCCTTTGGGTATAATATGTAGGATTTGACTGATCTGTTTGGTTAGTTTTGATTAAAAGTGAAGTTCTCATTACGATGGGAATGGGCTTGCCGGTCAGTTCTAACAAATGGAAAGAGCCCTAAGTTTACAACCTCGTTTTTCCAAGACACTATTTCTTTCAAATCACCTGCAAATTTATTTTTTAACCAAAAAAAAAGAAAACATGTGAGTCTCAGTAACAGCCTTAAAGTTGTAAAAATGAACTGAATAATGACAACATGAAGAAGCGGATGGGATAGCCCTGTCGCGGAGGGGGGGGGGGGGGGGGGGAATCGGGGTAGGGGGGCAGGTCACCACAAAAAAAAGAAAAGTCATCCTACTCATTCACCTTTTTTTTTAAAAATAATTTTTTTTTAAAACTAACAATTATATTTTTTTTATAAAAAAAAAAAAAAAAAAAAGTGTGGAGTAAAAAAGAAGAAAAAAAAAAAAAAAAAAAAAAAAAAAAAAAAAAAAGGGGGGGGGGGGGGGGGGGTGCGGGGGGGGGGGGGGGGGGGGGGGGGGGGGGAATCGGGGTAGGGAATCAAGGGGTTGAATTATCTCCTCACCTGGCTTGCTTTTCGTGTAAGGAGCAATGAATGTCAATACTCTTGAGGACACCTTGTCCAGGACCTGGGGATGACGGTTGGGCAGGATTTTGGTAAACTTGCGAAAGAAATGCATCCCGCGTGGAATGCTCCATATAAGGCGCTCAACGTGGTCGCACCATTCCTCCACAACATCACTGGCTGTTTCTCCTCCACCAATCAGCATCACACGTTTGCCTTTATGCTCCGGCACAAAGGACTTGAGCGTACAGCTGTGGTGGATTTCACCTTCAAAATCCTTAAGAAGCGTATCTTCCAGGGCTCGATTGGGGAGCTGCACGTTGCCACTGCAAACGACAAGAAAAGTACTCGTGAACACGTGGCCGTTTTCGCATTCCACTTGCCACAAGCCGTCTTTCTTAACAGCGTTCTTTACTGCGTGATCTAAACGGATATGAGGCCATAACTTGAAAGCATCACAATAAGCTTTTAAGTAGCTCAAGACGTCTCCATGTTTCGGAAACGCTCCGATCTCTTCGGGCATAGGAAAGTCGGACATTTCCGTGACGGAGGATGACGAAGTTGGTATTGTGTTTCTCATGACTGTAACGATGCTTGGGTCTTCTGAGAAACACCACAGGCCTCCCACATCAGTACGTTTTTCTAACGCCACGACGGTCAATCCCTCCTCCAGCATGTATTTACACGCCATAAGACCAGACCAGCCAGCACCGATTACAATCACGTCTGTGAAATTTCTTTTTCCTTGAGGCATTTTGTACTCAGCTACAGAAGAGAAAGGAATTGGTAGAAATGTCGCATTGTGAGAACGCACTTCTGAGGTGAAGTGGATGATAAGCCAAAATTTACCTTCCTTTGTGCAAATGTTCTTGGTATGAAAATGGTACGAGAAGATCAAGAAAAGTTACCATTAACACTCATGTATATTTACGTACAGGCCACGGTGTTTTATTTCATTGCATAATAAAAATACTTTGCATAGCGATACCTTATGTTTCTTGACTGACGGTAGCTTTTTGGGGGTCGAGGGTGTACTGGAAGGATTTTAAAATGTGATTTCTTGGCTTATTTAAAGAGGCAACTCACTAATGACCAGCCTGAGTTTACACGATTGTGGAAGGCGAATCAGTTTATTTGTAATTTTCAAATAATTTTTTTCTATTTCCAAGGATTGAAAATGGCACTAACTTGCAGGCTTATAGTAAGTGGCCAAATAGAGTTTTCAAAAAATATTTTGCGAAACGGTGCTTTGGTATTTGCTTGGTATTTTTGGTTTATGTCTGTTCCACTCATACATGCGAACACAAAATATAGCACAAGTAACTTAATTTGGTCGTTTGCTTTTGCGGCCGTTTATTTTTCCATCAAGAAATATTTTTAATTGGCGATAAATTTTGAAGGAAGAAAGACTTTAAAGAGAAAACCATTTTGGACCATTTTCTTTAAAATAAGGGCGAAAATCGAGGAAAAGAAACATTTGTTTTGCGTCCTTCTTCGCAACGAGTTTTATCGGCTCTCTGTTCAAATCATGATGAGTCACGTTTAAGTTCGTCTCTCCTTATTTATTTTCTTGGGGTATATCTTTGAGCCATGACTCAGTTTGCTTGATGAATGGAAAGCGTGCGAGTTTGACGGGAGTGATTAGATAGAGAGCCTGCTGAATTCACTGCGATGAGCAAAGAACACTAAAAGAAGTTTAAGTACTACAGTTAATTAGACTAACTGGCTACTACCCTATGGAAAAGGCGACTGGATGAGCTGAGCTCGTAAGTGTAGTGTATACAAACGCTTCTGTTCTGTGGATTAGAACTCATATTGTTTATGTTAGTCATTGCAGTCATTGCGTTCATTGATTTCGCCGCCCATTTCGAGTCTAATTTGCATATTCTGTCCACTCAATACCTTAACGTTTGAACATTTTGGTAGTCTTTTATGGAAGGTTAATTGATTTTTCATCATATTTTAAATATTAATGAAGAAAATTGACTCCTTCTCACCATTCTTTATATTTTGTTGCAGTGAGCCGAGTGTCTTAGTTGTTCATGAACGGCATCTTCGTTTCGTTCTGTTAGTTCCGTGAGGGACAGAGCTAGATCGCACAGACATAGTAGGCCTTGTGGTTTGCGTTCAGTCTACTTTCTCGTGCCAAATCAATTCATTTGAAGTCATTTCGAAAAGGACAAGAAAGGCATGAATGGTACAAATCTCACTATATTTTGACGGCCCTAATGTGCTATGAGAGGTCCACTGAAATTAAAACAGCCTCGCTTGTTCTGGGTTTAAGAAGAGTGTGTTAGAAATTATTGCGTCATTGTGGCGGGAAAACTCGTCACGTGATCTGAAAACTGAGCTTTGGCATGAGAGTCTTAGAACTGTGTAGTCGTTCGGAGTCGTGGAGCTGATTAAGTTTGTGGATTGAGTGTAGATCATCGAATTTTTACGCGAATTGATGTAGATGAATCCTTTAAGTGTAGAACAGAGTACAGAATTCTAAAATATGAACATGTGAAGAAATATGCTTTAATGGAGTGAAGAATTAAAACTACAGAGAACTGATTATATATACAACATTTGGTTACAGAGTGCAATACCTGATCATCCTACTGCTCTCTAGGTGATCTGCTTTATTCATGGCCGAAATTAAATAGCCCCCTGGGAAAGGGTTGCAAAAATCGGTGGCTTCTCCACTGACGGAACTGAAAGGTTGAACCGACTTACTGTTTCGTGCTTGGAAAGAGTGGTAATTTTTGACTCAGTTCCCTTTGAAATCGTCTCTTGGAGGAGAACGGTCGTACGCCAAGTCAGTGACTGAGTAAAACTCCTTTGGACTGAATACTGGGTTCAGTCAATCAGTTTTTATACCTCGGTGTAATTTCGCGGGGTTTTATTTTCGTGATTTCCCACTAGACTGCAAAATGGAACTTAGAAACCAGTCTTTTGGATTTTGTGTATTTGTCAATACATATCCCGTATAGGTTGTTGTCATTACAATAATTCTCTCTGTGAAATGAATCACGGTCCTCACGATCAAATTAAACAGGCAACCTCGTCCCCACGCTTTTCCCGTAGAAAAGCCCTGGGGACGAGGCTGTTAAACAGGGTAGATAAATGAATGTTTATCCTTTTTACAGGATCAGGGTTTGAAAACTCTTGCGGTACACCTCTACCTAAACTTCCCTTGAGTGAAACAAAAAGCAAACTGCAGTGATAAGCTCGGCACCTGACATAAGCCAATATAAACGCATTTCTGGAAAGAAAAAAGACTTTTTAAACTTGACGTTTCGTAGTACCCACGCCCCCAGGGCTTCCTGAAGGACCAGAAATGCACAAAAGCGTTCACAGTATATGTGACTCTTTTTTTATGCATACTTAGGTGCCTAAATACGTGGTCAATTACGTTGTCTTGTTTTTGCAGTAAAAAATACAAAAACCAGTGCGGAGTATGAAAGCCCTTAAATGACAAGTATTTGGAGCCCAAACCACGGTTCTTGAAACTGTGCTGAAAATAAAGGCAGATAATTGTAGATAGTTTTAATACACACCTCGGAAGATGCCGCTGGTTTCAATCAATTTACCTAGTTCCTTCTAGTAGCGTGAATTGAACATGCAGTGGCAAAAATTTTTCATAGCCGGTAAATTCAACTCCAACGGTAAATAAACACGCAAGGCCTCAAGAAACAGAACTGCTCTAGATAAGGGACGATGAGAAAGTGTCTGTTTTCTGCAGTAACGCCGGGTTGGCCATTTTACGCGGTTTGAATTTAGCCAGAAAACGAAACGGCTTTCCACAGGAAAGGTAAGTTGGGAATAACGAAAATGTTTGACGACAAAATTAGTCCTAACATATTTGCAAACTCGGTCTGCACTGACGAAAAGTCATTGCGGATATGATTATACATAACTCACAGTTTGATCCTTATACATGCTGTCAGTCTCACATTGGTAGCCGAGAGTTGAGTTACCTAAATATATTATACCATGTTTATTCGACGATTAAGCGCCCAACCTCAAATTAACAAACAGCCCCCCCCCCCACCAACCCCCCACAACAACAACAACAACAACAAAACTGAAGTGGATGAGAAGAGTTGGTTGTTATTTCCATTCGGCCCAATCTGCTTCTCTACTTTTTATGACCCATTTGTAGACGTTACACTGTGAGACATCTACGAGGCAACACCAGAGAGTTCGCTTAATGATCTTACTGACAATGAGATCGAAATTGACTAGGTACGGTGCTATTAAGACATTTCCCCGAAGACCTTGGGCCATGGACTTTTAGCGAAAACGTTCAAAAATTTTCCAAAATCACCTATACGGCCAGCTGGTGCTCACTTGCGGACAAGCGCCAAATTTGCAGTGCGAGCTGTAAGTGTTTGAAGTTACGCTTCAACATAATAAAGAATTTGGTATATTTATTTTTGATCTATGGTTTTATTATGTGTAATCTTTAAAAGCGTTTGATACGCGCTGCATTTTGAGTACTTCTGCAAGCGAAGTTCATGTACGACTGAAAACAACCGGCACGGAGAGAAATACGTCAATCGCAGGACCTCGCGAAGGACTTCGATGGAACGGGAAGAAAATTCATAAATCTAAAAATTTTAAACTCTATAAAGAAACCAAATAAATTACAATAACTAAAAAAAAATCTAAACAAAAAGGAAAAGAAAAAAAGAAGAGGGGAGAAAAAGGTTCTGCCCGTAATCGAACTTGGAACCTTCGACGAGCCGGGCCACGTGGAACACACTGGTGTTCAAAAATATGTTATTAAAACCTTTTCCCCCAGAACTTCCGCCAGCGCGACCTGTATAAAGTCGATCGAATTCAAAAATATTTTTCAGAAGAATGACTTCTGTTTGGACAATGAAATGAAAACCCAACGTAAACGCATTTCATCGCATTTAAAGAACGGAAGCTCACCTACATGTAAGCCGATACGGTATAAACTCGTCTGCGAACAAAACTTGGCAACAATGATGTAGCAGGCGTTGAAAGGGGTAGGGGATAGAGAGGAAGGGAAAAAGAAGAGGCATTGGGGGGGGGGGGGGGGAAGGGGTGGGTTGCACAAAAAAATCGCGTTGTGGGGGCCGGTCTTTTCGGTTCCAACAACCACCCAAAATCGAGATGGGGTTTGGCGTTTAACAATGA